ATGAGTGGAGGAACAACGAGAACTTTCCCCCGGGGTTTACAGGCAGTGAAGAAGAAGAAGTAGAAGTCCATCCAATCAAGCTTTCTTTAACACCTGGCCTGACGCTTCGAAAACATTGTTCAGACACCCCTTTCCCTCCGCAACCATTTACCTGTATCCCAACTGGTTATTACATCTTCTGAAGACACCCGGATCCGCCCAACCTTGCCAACGTCCAGTGTTCAGATTCATCATTTGTTGCTCTTGGGTTCACCAGCACTTATGTTACATTTTCCGGAATTTACCGATCCAAACTGCAGCATGAATGTTTGTCGATGTTATCTTCCCCTTGGCATTACAACTGCTTTTGTATCTGATCAGAGACACCAGCGGGCCCTATTTACACACGATCTGGGGAAAACAGGATATAAACAGCGAAGCACAAGGTCGTTGAACTAATTGTGGCTGTGAGGACAAATGTCCTGAAACAGTTTCATGGAGATTGTAACTTTAATGTTATCTTTACAGTTGGCGGTTTCACAATACCGAAATACTAGGATTCCAAGTCGGCTGCAGGCGATTTGGTTACAGACCAGTTTGTGCTGATTTCCTAACGAGTTAAGAGCCGACACTACAGTAGTCGGGTCTCACATAAGCGCAACGTCCACCTCTTCAGTAGCCGCGCAGAGTCCTAGTTTCGATGGTAGCAGCCGTCGATCAGTGTGTCCTTAAAAGAACGTCGCTCTCCTCACGGCACACCAGAAGGTATATCTTTCCTTAGCCAGTTTTCCAGCTCTGTGCTTTCATAGCTAAACTTTCACAATCTTTTTTCCACCTTCGTGGAGGTCTGCTTCGGCCTCGTGTTCAGGCAGCTGTACCCTTCATCACCGTTATCTCCAGGTCACCATGAGGTTCAACCCATACCAGTAACAGTCGTATATTTCTCCTTGTGGTCTTTCCTCTGATTTCCACAACGGTAGGAGAAGAGTACCGTTCAGAGAGCCGTGGCAAACTTCTCATATCCTGAGTTTATTCTTCGTGGTCAGAGTCGACGACGAATCCTACTTAGCCTGCTTAACTTAAACTGTTTGTAATTACCACTTTTAGTGCGGTGTAGGACTGGGTGGGCATGTGTCTTCTTCTTAACGTTCACCGGCTGTAAACTCTGGCGGAAAATTGGCAGACAAATTCTCCGTCCCTTACCGAGGATCAAATCCCGCATGAGAGCCCAGTGATCTTCAACCTTGGCTAGCGGAGCGCCAACCTGCAAAGAGTGGTTATAAATACAGAAATTCTGGTGTGCGGGGAAACGAATAGGCACAAAGACTGGATGTTTCTTCTTCCCACTGTAGTAAATTGATGCATTATAAGCTAGATGTCGTAAGGGCCCTTTAAGGGGCGACTGAACATTGCCGAGGCACACGCTGGAGAGAATGGGGCTACAAGCAGTGACTAGGGAAATCTGGCCGACGCTCAACGTGTAGGAGAAAGGCGAGATGAACATACAATCAAGCTGCTACTGATAGCCATCGGAATTGGATCTCTGCGCTTGCTGTTGAAGATGGGGACCGAGCGCTTATGGAAATATCACGAGTGTTTTCATATCGGTTTGCTGACTCATCTTAAATACAGACTGCGAATGCAGTTAGGTTGAGTTCTTGGGTGGAGATAGGGATGCACACTTGGTCGTAGAAGAAAGTGTAGACAGTTGTGTTTACTGAAAGCTACATATATGACCGACTTCCTATAACATGTCGGCCCTGTGGCTAAGTCCGGGTGCCGGGTTTGATCCCAGCTGCGGGTCATGCGCCTTGCTTTGTTTTTCGACAGTGGTATCAGGGGACCGACCGTCCAGAAAGCACTGGCAAACTACTGGACGTAATTACCTAGAGAAACCACACAACAGCCAGGAGATGCAGGAGTTGGTTCTGCAACATCCTGTAAAGGATACGCAACTAACCTTTCTCCTATAACATGGACACGACCCAGTCAGTAGCCGGTTTTTAAGTAGCAAGGAAAACAACAGACGACAGTTTGTACAAACGGAATCTCTTAATAAACCGGAGTGCATTGTGGAACAGAGCAAGTTTTTATCTGCGAACGAAAACAAAAATCAGTCTCAGTGAGAGGAATGTTTTCCTTTCCGATTTTTGTGCAAGGCAATTAACCGCATTTGTTTTTTTAATCACATTTGTTAGTTTAATTATTTGTGTCCCAGATAATTTCCCCCCGACACACCTAGACAGAAATCAATTTCAAACAAATAAGTTCACCGAGATCCTGTTGAGAAACAAATGTGAACACTTAAAAAAAAAAAGGCAGCCTTTTAAAAGTGTCAATGTAAAATGACTCAGAGTGTCACCCTAAGCGCGCTGGATTAAAAAAAAGTAGTCTACAACAATAATGAAATCACAAAAATTTAATGTTTAAAATAATTACAGACTTCTGTTGACGTCATTCAGTACCCACCAACTCGCCACGCGTTCGTTAGTTACTCCTTACACGATGTGCTTTTGTAGACACCCTTTACCCCATGTGGCTGTTAAAATAACGGCCGCTATCCCAGACGCTACTTAAACTCATTTTTAGTAATGTTGATAAAGACTGGTAGAAACATCATCTTGACTTCAGTCACACCCTGTTTACGTCATCACTTTATGTTGTATTTAGCTCTTGTTGTCATCATCTTGACTTCAGTCACACCCTGTTTACGTCATCACTTTATGTTGTATTTAGCACTTGTTGTCGTCATATTGACTTCAGTCACACCCAGTTTACGTCATCACTTTATGTTGTATTTAGCACTTGTTGTCATCATCTTGATTTCAGTCGCACCCAGTTTACGTCATCACTTTATGTTGTATTTAGCACTTGTTGTCGTCATCTTGACTTCAGTCACACCCAGTTTACGTCATCACTTTATGTTGTATTTAGCTCTTGTTGTCATCGTCTTGATTTCAGTCACACCTTGTTTACGTCATCACTTTATGTTGTATTTAGCACTTGTCGCCATCTTGACTTCAGTCACACCTTGTTTACGTCATCACGTTATGTTGTATTTAGCTCTTGTTGTCATCATCTTGACTTCAGTCACACCCTTTTTACGTCATCACTTTATGTTGTATTTAGCACTTGTCGCCATCTTGACTTCAGTCACACCATGTTTACGTCATCACTTTATGTTGTATTTAGCTCTTGTCGCCATCTTGACTTCAGTCACACCTTGTTTACGTCATCACTTTATGTTTTATTTAGCACTTGTCGCCATCTTGACTTCAGTCACACCTTGTTTACGTCATCACTTTATGTTGTATTTAGCTCTTGTTGTCATCATCTTGACTTCAGTCACACCCTTTTTACGTCATCACTTTATGTTGTATTTAGCACTTGTCGCCATCTTGACTTCAGTCACACCTTGTTTACGTCATCACTTTGTTTTATTTAGCACTTGTCGCCATCTTGACTTCAGTCACACCTTGTTTACGTCATCACTTTTTGTTGTATTTAGCTCTTGTTGTCATCATCTTGACTTCAGTCACACATTTTTTACGTCATCACTTTATGTTGTATTTAGCACTTGTCGTCATCTTGACTTCAGTCACACCCTGTTTACGTCATCGCTTTATGTTGTTTTAAGCACTTGTCATCTTGACTTCAGTTACACCCTGTTTACGTCATCACTTTAAGACAAAGTTATTAATGATGTTATGTAACCACATTATTCCCCATGTAATTCCCGGGGCCCTATTTTGGGGGCAAGGAAGAAAAGAAAAACCCACTGACTGTTAACAAGCGTGTCTTAGAAGGGACAAATAAGATGCTTCCTTCACATTCTTAGTGCATCTGCATAGCTGACGAGGAACCGACAGTCTACGTACAGATGAGTCATATCTGTAAACACATCAAGTTTTGGAATAAGACCAAAGCCTAACAAAGATAACTTTTCGATTATGTTTGCAACAGGTGAAATATAACAATAGCAATGAAACTAAAAACACACCCCGTGATGATGCAGACAAGAATTACTGTAGGCAACAGTTGCATATGGATCAAAGACATGTAGTTTTTACTTGTCTGGAATTGAAGGAGTCAAATTTTAAATGAGGTCACATATTGATAATATAGGTCAGTTATCGCCATTGCCAGTTCTTCCATATGCCACGCTGGCACGCATGCCGTAGTTTGGGGACGCCTGCCGTGTGTAGTAGTAGTTGTTGTAGTAGCAGCAGTAGCGGAAGGGAGTGGGGGGGGGGGGGGTGGAACCGGGGAAGGGAGGAAGAACAACAGGAGGCTTCATGGGCACTTCAGGAAGTTTCTGCCCGTTAACTTCTGGCAGTGTTTAGATGCGGTCTCCCGCGTGTCATCACCCCAGGTGTCTTTCTCCGGTTGCGCTTGAATCCTTTATTTAATAAACACGAATGACACGCTCGTTTTATATGTTATGAATTAACCAAGTAACAGAAAGTGTATTGATCGGCACTCATAGAAAGAAGTAGATAGAAGAATACACTAGACAACATAAAAATCGAAAGCTATAGTTACCATGCCTGGAATTGAACCTGTCATCCCCAGACGGCATCTGCGCCTCTCCATGAATACAAGTACACTTAAAACATAGTCAACTAGGCCCCCCCCCCTCCCAAAGGTGTCTTATTGGCCATGTCTATCGTACAACTTGAAATCCACAACTATGGAATACGGACAGAATTCATTTTAAACCATTTAATGGCACCATAGGTTACATAAATTTATATTAAGGAAGCATATGTCGAATGTGCTTACCCTTCTTCTGTGTCGGCATTCGCTGCTTTACAGCGAGACTGGCACATTTTGTTCTCCTTTACAGACCTTTTGCAGTATACTTGTTAAGAGACAGTGGGTTTGTTCTTGTCCTCCCTCTCCTCTTCCGAGGTTGATATACTAACTTAAAAGCCACCCTGTCGGAGGAGGAGGAAAAGAAGAAGGTACCAAAGGTAATATACGTGCATTTCATTCTTCTTTGTGTGTACTATCATCCACAGACGATGAAGAAGAAATACTTCGTCTTACGCTCCACGAGCTCCAGCGGGCCTGCCCGTTTAGAATACTACGACTCGGAGAAGAAGTTCAAAGCAGGCCAACCACCCAAGCGCCCCATTCACCTGCACACCTGCTTCAACATCAACAAGAAAGCAGACGGTCGGCACGGCAAGTACGGGATAGCACTGTACACCAGCGAGGAATGCTTCACCGTTCTTGCAGACTCCGAGAAGCAGCAGGAGGCTTGGCTGAGTGTCATTTTGGAGTTTCAGAACGAGTACCTGCCGGATGGTGATATGCATAAGGAGCATTATGGTGAATGGCCTGGTTTCTGTTTACGCGCATTTGTATCTGTTTGTCACCTGCGTTGTTCCCCTGTCATTTAACTGCGAGTGAGTTTGTTAAAATTAAGCTTGTTTTAATTGTATTTTATGTGTGTATATTTACTGATGAGAATATTGAAGAAAATGTAATGTTATTAGAATCGATGTCTTTGCATATTAGACATCCCCATGTGTGCTTAGTCCTCCGATGTAACAGCCACCTCTACTGATTGTTCCCGTGAGGAGTTGGTTATAGAAAGTATCTCCTATCTTTACTTCAAAGACGGCATAGACGTGCTTCGCCAAGCACGTGGTCACATAGTCGTTTTAGCGTCAGAGATTCGCCCTTATCCCCCATCCTAGTCTGTACAGCGTTGATGATATCAGATCTTAAGAGAATTTGTCAGTAACCAGAGATCTAGTCGGCGCTAAACACGTTTGGCCGGGACGAGACAGACAAACAATCATATTGTTGCTGGTACCATTGGAATTGGAACTCTAGGCGTGCTGTTGAAGATGGGGACGGGGCGTCTGTGGTAATGCTGCGAGTGTTATAATGTTGGTTCTTAACTCATAACTTTATTTTATTTTATTTAATACAAAATAGGAAACCTGTTGCTTACGTTAGACAATCGTCGAAACAAAATAAGTGCCAAGAAACCCAGAAGGCACGGAGTGACAATTGCAGACACATCAATAATGTTGAAGATTTAAAAAACAACAGAAAGTATAAGATGGCTGTTAGTGATTAGAACTGCGAAATACGCGATACGGTATCGAACTGGCAACGTATGTTGTCTAGACTCTAGAGAGAATAGGTGTCGGGCGCCCCAGACTAGCAACCAGAGAACGCGGAAGATTTAAAAAAAAAAAACAGCGTCTTTGTGTCTCTCGTGTACTGGCTGTTCTTGGTAGGGAATTCTGCCGTATTGTTTTCCTACGATAACCAATCAAAAACCAGATACTTATCAGTCGTATCCGCTTTATTATCAACACTGAAGGCCAGCGCGAGTCAGAGAAGCAATGGGCTCTCCTTCTCTTTCTTTCTTTCTTTCTTTCTTTCTTTCTTTCTTTCTTTCTTTCTTTCTTTCTTTCTTTCTTTCTTTCTTTCTTTCTTTCTTTCTTTCTTTCTTTCTTTCTTTCTTTCTTTCTTCTTCTTCTTCTTCTTCTTCTTCTTCTTCTTCTTCTTCTTCTTCTTCTTCTTCTTCTTCTTCTTCTTCTTGTCCTCCTCCTTCTCCTTTCTTCTTGTTCTTCTTCTCCTGCTCTTCATTTCTTCTTTCCTCTTCTTCTTTCTTGTCGTCATCGTTCCCATTATCCCCCAGTGGAGTATAACCCCTCAACTAGCTTACGCGATGCCTTCCTATCCTTGCAAGACCTCTCTGGTCGTAACTAAGTAGTGTGTATCATCATCATCGTAATCATCGGCTCCATGTTAACTGTGGTAGTCGGTGATATATTGTATAATAGGCTGGTTGTGGCTAAACTTCAGATTGGACGTACGCATACTTGCAACCGTTGACTCAATAAAGTGACAGACATGTGCTCGTCACACCCTTGAGATAACGTAATCCGAGACGGAGGTGACAACAGCCCCGCTGATGCTGTCTGACGTGCAGGATATTGGATCGCCAGTAGAAAAACAACACCACAATTCCTGGATAATACTCAGATAGAGCCAGCAAAAATAAACAAAATCGAATACACATACATTAACCGTCTTCCTTTGGGGACAAGTTATGCCGCTACATTGCGTCATTGCTGAAAAACAGATCGATGGGCTATCCACCTTCGTGCTAGTGACAGTATGTCTTGTCTTGTCACCAGTGCCACGTCGGGACTTTGTTTATCTTCTACCCCTGTTCTCTTTTTGACATTTCTGCATTACATGTCGCTTTTCATATGTTTAGTTTTACGTGTCTGGACAACAGCTTGTATCAGCAATAAATAAACTGAGGGGGCGCCCTTGAGGCCGTTAAATACTTTATATTATTAAAGTAACAGAAAATATTGATCGGCACTCTTAGAAAGAAACAGAAAGATAGAACACACCAGACAACATGAAAAGCTACAGGCGGGTGATAAAGACGATTCTGTTTATTATTGGTCACCTAGCGAGACAGGAAAGATGGGTGCGGGAAGGTTGGAAGAGAGGCAGGATGAGACTAAGAGAGAAAGTGCTGGGTAGTAGGGGTGCCGAAGTTGGAGGGTGGGGGGGGGGGGGTGGGGTCACATAAGACTCCTATCCACAGAAGGGAAGTTAGGCATCCGTCATAGCTAGATCCTGCATGTTTATCTCTTCACATTGCTGACAGATGTGTCTAGGATGTGCAGCCTGCGGCCCGCTGGTCTTAGGAGGGTCGCAAAATCATGCGCTTTGGGCCTGACGGAACACCTGCAGTTACTATTTCTCCAAGGGTAGGAATTCCAGAGAATTATTTTTATTAGCTTGACTGCAGTTACCCCCATATTTTCTCCAAGGGTAGCAAGTCGAATTTATAACGTGATAACTTTGTATGAGTCGCGAGTGATATTACCAACATTTAAATGACCGGCGGCAGAAAAGGGATGTCTCCACCGCTGATGCTGCAGAATATGACCAATTAGAGCACACACACACACACACACACACACACACACACACACACACACACACACACACACACACACACACACACAGAGAGAGAGAGAGAGAGGGTGCGTTTCAACAAATGTAAAAGCTGGATATAGACCAATAAGTTGAGGAATGGTGGGTAGCACCGCGTCTTCCTGGCTGACAGGAATAGACGGTCAAGTGTGTCCTTGTAATGCTCATCATTGCAATACAGATACAGACAACTGAGGCATAGATAACAACAGTAATGTGTAGCTTGTGTTTTTGTCTCATTTTATCCCTTGCTCCAAACTTCTGTCTCCCGCTTTCCCTTCTCTTCCTCCATGTCTGACACTCTTTTCTCCCACCTTCCCCCTCTCTTCTCTCGTTCCCTGTTCCTCTCACTCCCTCTCTGGGCCTACTGTCTCACTCCTTATGCTCTCACATCTTTCTCTTTCTTCTTTCACTTCCTCTTTTTCGCTGAATTGTTTTCGCTGTCATTTTTTCACTTGTTCACTCTTCTTTTTATGTCACTTTCTCCCCTTTCACTTCCCCCTCCCTCCTACATTTCCTGTCCTCTTTCACTTCCTCTCTGCCTTCTGTCTCTCTCCCCTCTCTCACTTCATGTTTCATTCTCTCTTCTGTCTCACGCTTTTTCTTCTCTCTCTTTTTTCTCACAGATATCTGTCGTATTTCCTCTATGTGGATTAGGCAATATAATTTATGTGATTTTGCACATACTGTTTATTATTTCTTTTGCTAAAAAATTAAGCTAATTAACTTTTGCCCTTTTCTATTCTCCCATCTCTTTTTCCGTACTCCTCTGTTTTCATATCTTTGTTCAGATCTCTGTAAGTTCCTAACGTGCTCCTCAAACTCACAGACTAGTTTAAAAGCCCCCTCCCCCAGCCCCTCCCTTCCCCGCGCACGGCCTGGTAACGCCTACTCACTCATGTTGTTTAGAAACTGGCACGTGTCCTTGACCTATCGACTACACCAGTTGCTGGTCCGGCATCGATCCACTCGTCCTCCTCTTCTCGGGACAAGGTCCCAACCCCAGTACCGCCATTGTTTGGATGTTTCCATCCACTCTTGGCGCCGTTTCCCCTATTGTCTGGTCCGTGGCAACTCCAAAGTCACGGCTGCCGAAGTTGGTACTCTCTTGCACGTTTGGTACTATTTGACGCATGCCAAGTAAAATTACGTTTGATACTAACTACTGATGTTTTGGTGCAGTATCATCAGATGGAAAATGTATGATATAGATTTAAAGCGGAGTAGGTCAAGCAAAGGTTGTATTTTAGAAAATGAAAAAAAAAAAAATTCTTATGCAATAAATCGCTCTCATTTAATGTCAGAAAAAGGGTGCTAAAATGATACATATAACCTGTTCTGCTGTATGGTAGCGAATCATGGAATGTCACTGAACAAATTAGGAAGAATTTGGAAGCAACAGAGATGTGGTTTTTGAGACGAATGTTACGAATACCTCGGACGGCCAGAGTAACTAACAACGATTGCTTCAAAGAGGCTAATGAAAGTAGATCTCTATATACAACAAAAAGAAAGAGAAACACTTCTTTGACCGCATAATGAGAAGAGAGACATTGGAGAACATCGTGACAACTGGAAAGATCAGTGTGGAAAAAGTGGTAAAGGCAGAGCAAGAGAGATAATGCTGGATGGGCTGAAACGATGGCATGGAGGGATATCACCAAGAGAGCTGTTCCAGACCAATAGGGATCGTGATCTGTGGAGACGCATGAACGCCTACGCCAGTTGGCAGGGCACATGACGATGACGATGATGACCCCTCGTATACGCTCTCGGCAGCATTTGGTTATATATATGGTCAAGTTTATTTATAACAAGTGTATATTGCCTGAGGTTGGATTATGTGTGTCCATCGGTGTCCAGTCTCATTGATCTGGGTCCCACTGCAATTGTCGTCCTGGTGGGTTCGCCTCATGTGTTATCTTCTCTCTAAATGAGTCTCCCTTACCTACTTTGCCTGTGTTTCCGTGTATGGAAAAAACCACCGACCCGGCTGCTTCGAGATACCAGCTAAGTGATTTTGTATATTTGTGTAGTATTGTTTGATTTGTATGTGCTGATAAAGGCTCCATAGCCGCAACGTTCACGTTTTGTTTGTATTTGTTATATTGTGAAGCTTGCTAATATACTTTTCGTTCGGTTTTATATCTTTCCTTGTATGTGGTGACGAGTCCATTCGGTCTGTTTATTGATCTTTGCTGCCCTCGGGCGTGCCCTGACGGGTCCGAGGTGTCGACGATGTGCTTCACCATTCCGACTTATTGTTTGACATGTTTGAGTCTTAAGTGTCAGAAGTACTGAAATCGGTGTTTTGGATAGATCAGAAATTGTGAAAATCAATTCGCGAT